TCGTGCTCGGAACAGATGCGATTGACACGTCAGATCGAACTGCTTTGCTGCTTGTGCATAGTGTAAATAAATGTTTCAAGTTCCTGCACAATGTACTGTCAGGGAAAAATGATATGCAAACAGAGGAGCGCGTGGCTTGCGGTACAGGTTGCGCTGCCTGGAAGTGAGCCTAGGGGCGAAGGTGCGTGGCCTACTCCGATATGTTTATGCTCTCCGCTTGGCGCTCCCTAAGCTTCATCAGTGCGTCTCTTAGTGCACTGAAAGCTACCACCTCTATCTTTGCTCGCTCCGAGAGAGTGCGCGCTTTAGCTGCTACAAGCAGCAAGCTTCCTTGTGCCGCATGCGCCGAGTGAGCAAAGATAGTGGTGATAGCTTTCAGTGCACTAAGAGGCGCACTGCTGAAGCTTGGGGAGTGCCGAGCGAAGGGCGTAAACGCATCGGGTAGGCCATGCACCCTCGCCCCTAGGCTCGCTTCCAGGCGGCGCAGCTTGTACCGCAAGCCACGCGCTCTTCTGTTCGCATTTGATTTTTCCCCGACAGTACATGTTCCTTCAGCTTCAGCTTAGCAGTTGAACCGGGAACGGTGGTTAGAGATGAGCAGGTCATTGTTGGGGCGTTCATATTCACTGGACAGAGTTGGGGGAGCCTCGACACAGTTGGCCTTTCGTGCAGCTCGGTACGACGGGTAGTGGCAATTGAGGGCGAGGGTTTCCTTCATGAGCTCTTGTACATAGGCTGAAATTAAGACTAGATGTTAGAAGCTGGTAGTTGTACTCGTTTTGACATCTTACCGTATGTGCAGGGCCCTTTCATGGGAGATGCAATTGGCCTCTTTGTTTGTTTAGGCCGCTTGACCAGGAACCTTTTTTTGCCTTCCTTAGTAGTCGCCTGTGGCCTGTCGCTGTTTTCGTTGAAATGCAGCGCTGCCACAAAGACTCTGAAAAGTTAAGACTTTAGCGGGCACATGCAAACAATTGGTTAGCTTGCATACCTTGCCTGCATGCTCTCGTAACCGAAGTGTGTCGACTTCGGTGCGAACTGGTTCACAGTGCTGTGAAAGCACTCAGTTGCGTAGGTTTGCGCTGAGGTTGAGAGCTGCGGGATGTCCTTCAGCAGTGGCTTTGACAGCACGATGCTCTTTAGCTTGTCGTGTGCCTGAAGTCCTGGATAAAGTAGGACACTTGTATTACAGACTGTGTGGTTTCAAATCTGCTATTACAACAATAACACTAAGGCTCATAAGAAAAAGTAGTAGTTTTGTGTAATTAAATTAAAAATATATGATATCCAGAGGTTAATAAAAGGGTTAGAGCTGATGAGAACAGATTAAATTGGGTAAGTTTAATAGGCTGCTACCAGTCCTGCTTACTGCCCGTGTTTATGATGCCTAGATTTTTTTATCGAATAGACCAAGCGATGCCGATTTTAATTTTGCAAAGCCATGATGCACCAAATCGTCATGCTTGGTTGACTCGTGTGCCCGAACATGTAAGTACAGGTCCCAGCGGTCCGTATAAACACCGCGCGGTAACGATGCACGCGGAAGAAAGCTGAAGCTACCACCTATCGGCTCACTCCCCTCTACCAGCAGTCATAGGTTCTTCCCTGGCTGCCACACGGACTAACCAGTATAGAGAGCCAGTAAACTTGCCACATTCATAATCAGACACCTTGAAACTAAGAACCAGTACAACAACTTGGTTGAAATTGTTAAAGAATTCAACCTGAGGCCAATTCAAAAGTTTTATGTGTGATCAAATTGCGGTTCCACTAGAAAAGGCACACCAGGGCCCGTTTGCTTGAAGCGCTAACTATGGCTACAAATTGACTGCAGTACCTAGGCGAGGGATTTTGAAATCACGCGACTGGCTCGGTAGAGATGCGGGGAAACATGGCAGTGCCCCGGTGAGTTAGCGCTGCTCGCTTTGGAACTAATATGTCGTTGTAGCTGCAGTATCGGGTGCGTTAATCAGCAACGAATGGTGCAGGAGCCTTCACTTTGCCTTACCTCACTTAAATCGCAAAGCATGAGCAATGACCTTGCCACATTTTTTAGTCTTTCCATTCTGGCCATTTCTAAGCCTAAATGAATGCGATAATTGTCAGCATGGCAACGTCTTTGGAAAACGGATTGCCTTGACTGAATCGGCCGGGTATTCATACCACACAAAAGCAGACAGCGTCGCAGCAGACCTTTTTCTAAATACCCAAGCATTGAGGAGAACGCTGAAAGTGTAATTCTATGGTCCACGAGCGCTGGTCTTCCTCTTATAAACGATTCAAAGTAAATAATCATAAGGCTTTGACAAGCATGCGTGCAAGGCAAAATTTGTTTTAGACTTGTGGGCAGACCAGCATGTCTGCCCACATCTCATTGCGCAATGTGTGGCACTGCTATCGGCCGGACCTGTTTGTTTGCAAACATGAGTTGGTGTATACTTCACAGCATCACTTGGTATGAAACACTAACATGTCAACACTGTTAATATGCTGTGGTCTACTTGCCCTCAGGAAGCCACTTTTTCTTCCCCAGGTCTCCGTGCTGGCACCTTGGATACAGGGGGTCGGCATGTTCGTGCAAGTCAGCCACGTGTCCCACCAGGGAAGTCCACTTAGGAAGGATCTCCTCTGGCGCTCCATCGCTGGATTCCGCACACCAATAGAGGTGCTTGACAGTTGCCTGCACCCAGTCTTGGAGTCCCACAAGGGATTTGAGTTTCCCAGCTGAGACCATGCGTTTCTTGATGCCTGAAAAATGAAGCATTGTATTCATTCTGCTAAGCACCAAGCTTACATTGCCAGAAACAACAGCTTGACAAAATAAAGAGTTCATAATTAAATAATTATGAACACCAAAAACAAGAAAAACCCAATCCTGCCCCATTTTCTCAAGTATAAAAAAAACATGGCGATACCTCACTCTAGGACACTTTACTTTTTAGACGCTTTCGTCGAGTGTAAAGTTTGTGCCTGCGGTCTTCGATGCTGCGCAAATAGTTACGGGACGGAAGAAACATCAAAACCCAAGCAGTTTGGGCTCCAAGTCGGCATGCGCATGGCCTGGTGAGCGAGATCGTTCCCAACCGCTCTGGGGACGCCACCTCGCCCAACCTTGCCAACCGCGACCGGACCCTGAGGCCGAAAGGCTCTGGCACAGCCAGGAACGGCACCGAGGTTGGAGCTCCTCTTTCTGCCTAGCATGCAGTGCTCAGAGCTATCGGCGTCTGTCCTTGCACTGAAGGCTCTAGGGACTCCTTCGGACACGAAGGTCCTATTTCGCGAGGCCTGGACAAGGGCCGCTTTACCGAGCAGATTTGCTATATGTCGCTCACATAGTTTGACAATAAAAGCTTGCGGTTCTTCTCTGGAGAAAATATTGCGGGCGACCACACGGACTGCTCTCCGCCGCCGCCGAGGGTGGCTGCCGCCATGTTCTCAGCTGTTCGCTTGCTCCCAGAGCGGGTGCCTTCCCATAATCCTCCCCGATCCAAATTGCGATGCAACCTCCATTTACATGTTTTGAATAAATGTGCATTCGCCATCTCAATCCACCTCTGTCTAGCGACTTGAATGCGATGCGCTCTCCTACTGTATTGTTTGTTTACATCACCGCATTGAATGCGACAACTGGATTCGATGCGACTAAGCCGCATTCATGTAAACACGGCTTATGTTTCAGCTTATATTGTACTGCAGCGAAAACTAGAAGCGCAAGCTCATGGCCTTGGCAGCTGCTCCTGCTGCACGAGAGCTTGTGCCGCCGAGCAGTTGCCATACAGCAAGGAGCTCCCGCTTGTAGCCTTTCCTGCAGTACAACATACGCAGAAACAAAGTATAGTGGCAGGCAAGGGTAGGAGTGTTCTGCAATTAAATGTTTTTTTTTTTTTGTTTTTGCATAACCTGGAACCCCGATTACTTATGGCTCACCTTTTGCAACGTGCCAGCAGTCGAACATGTGCCGAATCTGGGGGTACCACTTGGCAAGGAATGACTTGATCATGGAGTGGCGATCAGTGATGATTCCTCCCACAGTCAATCCATTGGCTTCACAAATCAGTAGAGTCCTTTTCAGGCCCTCGAGCTCCATTGCCCAGCTGCCCTTCGTTTCGTTGGACTGAAGTGACAAATAAAACATTGCATTATCACACCGAACATGAAGTATCCAGAACGAAGTCAACTAGAGCTGTTGAATGAGACAACCCATGTCTGAAACAAGTTGTTTTCGCCATTCATTTTCAATTAATTACAGAAAGGTTTCATTCCAGAAGAACAGAAGCATCAGAACATTTATAGCAGGGGAAATTTACCTGCACTGTTTCCACATGGAGAACCTTCTTCGTTGACACGTCGACGACGGTGTACGTTCCATATTTTGCTGAGTGCCCGGGGGAGTCTGACCGCCCATCACCAGCGAGGACCAGTTCTCGTCCACTTGCTTGCTCGAAGAGCTCGTTTTGTTTCCTGTTACACACCTGGAAGTTTATTTGCAAAGACTTTTGTAAACAAACAAAAATCCTGAACATGCTTTTCATTTCACCTATAAGTATACTGCAAGCTTCTTTTCTTTATGTGAACGTCCATGGAAGTTCAGCATTTAAGTTTGAATCCCAGTAAATGCGATCAAAGCATTGACAAATTGTAATTCGTCTTTCTTTCTTTTCAAAATGAGGGGATGAAATGCTCCGAGTCGTGAGTATAAATATTGAAGGCACATATGCACTACTAGGTAGATTGGCAAAACACTTTTTTACTTTCTATTATCTATGCAAGGGCTAGTTGATGAATAGCTTTTGACATTTTCCGTATTGAAACTCAAGAAGCATAGTTTTGCACTTATTTAGGTCGCATACACCCCTGCCTGTTCAGGTCTTGTTCCCCTCGTAGCAATCAACAAGGACAGTTTGGCTGCCGAGGAGCCGCCTTCTCAAGAGCGGGCTCGTTTTTTTAACCTTGAAGAAATGCCACCCCGTATAAAAAATAGAGTACTCGCCGATTAATCTTTACGATCGGCCTGGGAAACATTTATTTTTGATTCTTTTACTTATTCCCCAAATCAAAATCTGCCCTTTACACTGTACACTTATCCAGTAGGTGCAATCAGTCACGAAGCAGGAGAATAAGAACTAATTAAAAACGTTGCCTCCACGTTTAGAAACACATAGGGCGACAATTCACCCACATGAAATGCGGCGAGCCTTCGAGCTTGAAGTATGTGCCATGAACCCTGTATATACTTGCTTTGCCCACACAGTTGGTACCTTTCCACCCCAGGAGTGTGGTAAAAATAGGTGCAGAGGAACAGAGGACATCTCAGCTCTCCCTATTTACAATATTTTCCAGCACATAAGTTGTTTCTTTCCTCAAATTCCTGTCACTGCATCTTACACAGAGGTGCGACTTACACCGCTTTTTTTTGCAAGTATAAGCCATAGCTGTGCAAGGCCGTATCAAAGTTACAACAAAGGAGAATCGGCAGAGCCTGTAGTTTGTATGGCATCGCACAGACCTAGATCCATTAGATGTAGCCTCGGATGCTGCAGTGTATTGAATCGTACAGACCTAGATCCATTAGATGTGGCCTTCGGGTCGGCGGATCAGCTTTTCCTTACAATTGGAACCTTGGCAATATGCCGGCTTCCAGCAGAGCTTACAGCCGGCCATATCAGAACAAATTTCCCACGGTAGTTCGCAAGAACATTGAAGCTGGCTCTTACTTGTGCTTATATTACAATATACATATGACAGCTTAACAATGCAGTTTTGCCTTGCGGCCCGTATAAAGATGTGCCACCTATAGACGTTTGCAAGTATGGCCTCGGGGCGCCGCCACCTTGCCCAGTTGGAGTGCACTTGGGCGCATTAAATTCGATTACGATGCCTCACTAAGGTGTCGTAATCAGACTATGGCCGCGCCCAAGCACAACCCAACTCGGCAAGATGGAGGCACCCTGAAGACGCACTTGCAAACATGTATATATCAAGCTTTTTGTAAAAACAGCCGTTTATAGGAGTGTGCGACTTGTAGACAGAAACATATGGTGCTTCCTACGCATGTACTACACCATTCAGGATCCCATAGGAGTGCTGAGCCTGAAATATTGGCACCTAAAATACACCTCTCACAGGAAAGGAAAAGCTTGAAAACGTGCCATACCTGTCTGATCGCTGGTAGAAGGAAGGCACCCTGAATCTTAAAGTATGTCTCGTACGATAAACAGGGCACGCCCATCTGGTGGAGGAGCCTTAGCACTTTTTTGACGATGCTCCCAGAGAAGAGCGTTGCTGCAGCTAGGAGCACATCGCCCAGGGCCCTCCTATTCACTGATGGTTGGCTGGTCCAGGTATGTTGGTGGCCATTGTTGCACATTCTGTGCACCCGGAGACATGTCCCTCTGATCTTCTTCTCTGTGATGCGGCACAGTGCAGTGCACTCAGGACAATTACCTAGTAGCTCGTCCAAACAAGACTCGAAAACAATAAACTTTCGTTCCGAGACGTAGTCGATGCTTTTGCTGCTCTCATGCTGACTGAGTGCGCTGTCAGATGCAGTGTTCTGCTGTGCATCCCTGGAATAAAAAAAGAAAAGAAAAAAGCAACCTCTTACACACCCTCTCATACTCGTCACTAAAGATGACATATATCCGACTGATACCAACCTCAGAAAGCCGGTGTCGGACATCATCATGAGGAAGCTAGCGTCAGAGGGGAGGTATAGGCTGTCTGCTTCCACGTGTGGCTCTGGCAGCTCCGTGGGACACTCTTCAACAGACTCTTCCTGGCCTGCACTGGGCAGCTCATTGTTTATTGTTGGCAGCTGTGGTGGGTCCGGTGGTGGAGCTGGTTGTCTGCGCACTGGCGGCTGCGGCGACAGAGTCAGCCCTTCAGGCAACATCCAATCCAATGGAGCCTGGGGGACATGATTTGGTGAAGAAAAACGTGGTGTCACGAGGACAGGATTCGTTTGGGACTTTCGTGATGAAGTCTTCAAGGTGACTTGTATGCCTGTGCCATCATAACGTGTTACAACGATCTGAACAATGCTGCCTTCTGTGAAATTTCTTCTTGCAGATACATACCTCGATTTCTGTAGATGCCCGAGGTCTGCGTAGCAGCGTTCCGAAGGTCAGGTTGAGCCTGTTTGGCATTACTGATGGAGGGGGCTGTTCACAGCAGAGGAAATAAAGTGTCTTTCAAAACAAAATCATCCTTGGCTCATGTAATCAGCAATAGGCTAGATTACCCTAATTTGGCAGAATTCAGTACTAAAATATGTCAGCCGAGTAGTTTCAATTGGCGCACATACCTGAGCTCGAACAAGGTTCTTCGATGCCAGCATTTGCATCATGCATTGGTTCATGTCCAGAGTCAGGACCTTGCTCAGTGTCGTCACCAGAAGGGGTTGACGATGTGCTGACTTCTTCAGCGATGAGTGTGGCCTTTGCTTGTGCCGGTGCCTCCAGCAATTCAGCAATTATCTATAAATGATAGGCATAAAAACTTACAACATGCAAACAAACACACTGTCAATATGCTGCTAACACCCAGATTCTGCTCAAATGAGGGTGACTGGCCCAAGCCCTTATCTTCGTTAGGCTCATGTCACTCTGTGTACCCTCCTCATCTTGACTTTGCTTGAACTGGTAAGCAAATCACACCGTCAAGTGCACAGTCATGAACACTAAGATGAAACGGTCGAATGACGACCGAGGTTAATTAGTGGCCTTGCCTCGAGTCGAGAAATTGAACAACACTTGTAATAACCTCTTGATTGGGGTGCAATTGTCATAAATGGCCAGCTGGTGTTCTTAGTGAACTTTATAAATAAACACCACATTCCGCGAGATTAAGACAGAGTAACTCAGCAAAAGATTTTGCAGTGTTTATTTTTGTTCTAAATTGGCACGCGTTTAGCAGCATCTATTTTTGGCACTAGAATTGATTTTTGCTGCAATTTAATTCCATACACCACCAGGTTTTTAGGCATTCTCGGCACTTGTCGACGTGAAGCATTACTGCGATCATGTATTCAATGTATGGGAAGAACATAGACGAAACAAGATCTTATAAACCGGCACACTGTTTACAAAAAAGCCTGCATTTGCCCACACCAGGTGTGGGGACTGTGCGAACGCAGAAACCGAATTCACGTGAAGTGAAGCCTCTGCGCCTGCGCAGTGCCGTCAAGAGTGCCACCGCAGCTGCGTGACGTCAGGGCCGCGTGTTGGTCTATAACTAAGATATCGTCATAGTAATCAGAAATATAAACAAGGGGTGGAAATATGTACCATAACAAGGTTCTCATTAAAAAAAACTGCAGCGCTCTTTTTCATTTATTTTCCGCAGTTGAGAGAAACTGCCTTCCAGGTTAACACTGAAAAGATGAAGCGACAGCAGCTTGACCACCTCATCAGGGAGAGCAGACCAGAGAGGAAAATGAGTTTTCCAAAACAGAATGATGTATACAGGCACACTTTTCTAAATGGCGTGGCACTCATACTGTGAGTACCCTATTCCGAAATTCAACAGCATCTCCTTATGCGCCACAATGAAGAATAGCACATGCTCAAGATGCCGCGGAGTTTGCACATCCTGCTCAAGCTCGGAATATACCCGCTGCAAACCTAAAGGAAGTACGTAGATCATCAATTAACCACATTCTCCAGGAATGGTTCAGCTCGGTCCTATGTGTCATTTTCAGGTAGCCCAAATCAAAATTCGATATTTATTGGTTTATGCCAAATTTCTCAAATTAAAATTAGCTGGCATTTATCAGTAGTAATAAAGATAAATACCAGCCTTCACAACTGAGCCAAAGGTGCCGGCGCAAGCTCGTAGCTTCAAAGCAAGTTTCTAGCAAATGAGCCCGAAAACCGAGTGCCATCGCTCACCTTATGTTGTACCGCAACGAAGGCAAGAATCGCGAGCTCACAGCGTAGGCAGCTGCCTACGCTGTGAGCTCGCAGGAAAGGCTACAAGCTCGAGCTTGTAGCCTTTCCTGCGGTACATCATAAGGTGAAACAGAGTATAGCTGCAGTTAGTCTCGCCATGTACACGATACCGACAGTGGAGCACCTGCGATTGGCGGCAACCTTTCGTCCGGCTAAGGGCACGATAGCGAACACGGATATAGTACACACTTACCCTGCGCGACGCTGCTAGCGAAAACGCGATCTCGGCGTTTCTCCGCGCTCGTCCTCAAAGGCGAGTTAGCAGGCTTGCGCTAACAGCGTCGCGCAATGTACTACGCTAATCTCACGACCACTCGCATTCGTGCTTTCCTCTCAGAAACAAACAGAAAAATATTTTAGTAACTGCGCTCACCTCTTTCCGTCGCCGTTTTTCCACGGCGCCGCTGTACCGCTCTCGCTTGCGTTTTCGCGTGAAGAGCGATGGCACCACGTCAGGCTTCAAATAGGCCTGTTTTACAGGCAAGCCCAGACTTTGCAGTAACTTCGGGCTCGTCTTGTAGTCCTCGTCTTCGAAGTGCTCCGTGCAAAGACAATCGCCTTTGGCGGGCTTCCATGTTGGCTGGGAAGGACGGGCCGCGCGAATCCACAGCTTCCGCAACGTGGGCTCACTCGGAAACTTGTGCGCAGGCCTGCCGCTGTAACATACGCTGTTCGAGCAGTCTTGTGCAGCGCAGTACCGCGGCATAATTATTGAAGAAACTGGATCAGAATGAGGAACACTCGGCGCGGTTCTCCATTAGGACTGCAGCGGGACAACCGAGTCTGCCAAGGAGCGAGAGGTCTGTGACGTCAGTTCCGCTAGGGCTCCTCCGCGGTGGCGTCAATCGCACCGGCGGCTTCCGGCCGACGGATTGCTCGAACGCGGCTCTTCAATCAAAGAAATATAATAATCCGATCACCATCCCTTGGTATGGTCTTGATTTTTAGGTATAGTAACGTCCCGGGCAGCTCGTCCGGGGCTTATTTTGAAAAGTTCAGATATCGGTTCAGTATCCCTTTAAACCCCTTGTTGGGCTGATATTTAGGGAGATTTTGGGCTGATTACTAACAAAATTCTTCAGCGGAGAAATGTCTTTACCACTGCTCGCCTACATAATTGCACAGCACGCTTTTAGTGCCCGTCCTCAAGTTTCGATGTCAACGAAGAAATTGTGCAACATAAAACAGCAGCACCATTACAGCAAAGAGACCCAAAACTCCAGGGTCAACTTCACTGCACCTGCCTGCCTTCCACCCCAAACAAAAACAGAAAAGTTTAATGAGCAACCCTCGCGGTTGGGCATTAAACATGCTTGTTTTGAAGAGTTGAATGGAATTAACTTGTACACATCCTAGGTGACAAAAATATTGAATAAATAAATGGGCTGACTGGTAACTTACCATCCCTTGTAGTTCCGGTAGTCGCAATCCTGATGTTTCGGCGGTGACACTGCAAGGTGGCAGCCGTCCAAGGCTCCGATGGCGCTTGGGAAGCCGCAGACGGCCTCGAACTCCAACATGTGGTTGTAGAGTTCGGTTTGCCGCACCATCGCCACTGTCGACTCCTCTAGCTTGGCCACGATCGTACCGCAGAACTCGCGGTACACGATATTCACTGTTGCGCGACCTACGCCAAAAAGATGGCCTATCGTTCTGTCCTCGGCTGTTGAGCATAGTTTATACAATGCAATCGCCACGCGCTTCTCGACACTGATCGGGGTCCGCATGTTCGTCGTTTCTCTTTCCATCGTCGGGCGGCACACGTCGACGAGATAGCGAAATGTACAGGGCATAACTCGGAAGCACGCCTTGAAGTTCTGGACGCCAAGGTGCGGCAAGGTCGTCTCAAACCAGCTCTCGCCCCTCTGGTAGGACCAGAGCCTGCGTTCAATCCGCTCTGCGCTTTGCACGGCAAAAGCGGCAATCGTAAAAGAGTTGGCGAAGAGTGCCATCTCTACAACTTCCCTCTCGCTTCTCGTAGAGTCAAGCTCTATTTCTAGTGCCAGATACTGGCTCAAACGTGCCTGCACGAGGCGCATGGCCTCGGCACAATCAAACTCCATCCTGAATTGTGCGCGGTGTTTTTGTTTTGTTTTTTCGTCCAATATACACGTTAATAAATTAAAACTCACGCGAAAGCACGGAAGGAGGCGAAACGGGTAGGCGAAACGAGGAAGAAATCAGCGGAGGAGCAAGAGAAAAAACAAGCAGCAGCGGAAACGCGGTTGCCAGACGGACATAAAGATTTCTACCAAATGCAGACGTAAATCTGTTCACACATAGAATACTGGTATAAAATATCTGGTTTGCCTTTATATACACTTTAAAACGTGTTACTACTATTAATATAATCAACTGAGAACGACATAAAAAGAAAAAAAAAACACCGTAATATTTTTTTTAGTTTCGGTTTCACCTATCGGTTGTCAGCACCAAAGCAATAAACATCACTCGTGCATTCCTTTTACTGGTCGTGTAGCTACTTCCCCTTTAATAGAAGGTCCTTTAGTGAAAAGGCCATTTAGTGAAAAGGAACTTTAGAACGCCGTCTGACACGGGTATTAACTTCATCCTCACCTTATTTTCTTTTTAGGCGAAACAAATACTACAACGTGTCCAAGAACTCGCATTAGTAACTCTGTAAATACCGCGTAAAAAAAAAAAGACGGTCGTACTACGCGTCTTTAGGAAAAAAACGTATAACTGGGAAACAGTAGTAAACAATGAAAGCATGTACGTTATGTAAGGCAATTCGTCTCTGCTATTTGGCATTATATAAACCCTCCCCCCCTCTCCGAATACGTCTGCCGTGAACAATTATATAGATGTCTGTATTTTGTTTTCTGCAAATTTAATTACCGGTTAGAAAAAAAAAGAAAATGTGATACATAACTATTTCAGGAATAAAGCAGTAAACCTTACACATTTGTTTCATTGCTACAGCATAGTAAGCCTTGAAAGCACCAGGTTATCAGTCATACTGTAGCGACCAAACGCTTTACAATATGTAACAGCTATGTAACCAATATTTTTTCCAACTATTCAACATGAAAATTTTATCTTTCAAACTGTTCATAATACTATTTTTAAATATTGATGACGATGACAATGATTTTGATACTAAGATGGTCATAATCATGATTATATGATTACGTTGATACTAGTGATAGCGATTCTGATAATTGTGGCGATTAGTATCGGCGAAGCCCTTTATATGAGCGAAATCCTGTGACACCTAGCTTAGATGAGAGTGATGTTGATGTTGATGAAGAGAAAAATGCCTTTTCGGAGCTCTCTGGGACACAAAGTGCGTGACTGCTGCTGCGCACGACGGCTCAATACACGGGTCTCCTGGGATTAGAGCAGAAGACAACCAAAGGCTTCCCGACCAAATGTCAAAGCAACTCAATCCGCGGCAATATTCCCCGCTTATTTTTACCCCAACTGGTTAAAGTGCAGGTGCGTACATCTAGTGGACGACACGCACCCAGTATCAATAACGTAAAATATAAAGAGTAGAACGTATAAATGCGGTTTCCAAGGCAGCCGAAGTACAAGCGCCAATATGGTTATCATCAAAAGACGTCGTCCGATCGCCGCGAAGCTGATGCTAGTCTGATGAAGCTTCGTCCAAGATCTCTATATCTCCTTTAATTTTTGTTTGTTCCTCAACAAGTTTGCCGGAGACGATCAGCAGGTTGCCCCTGGCATGGTTTTGGCCTGCACTGACCTTCTGACTTATTTAAGGTTGCCCTCCCAGTCAAGGGCATCGAGTAGCTCGAACAATTCTAAACGCAACCATCTAAAAAAAGAAAAAAACAATGTTTTTTTTTTTTGACACATGCATGCCCGTTTGAATGCGAAAGCCAAACTACAGTGGCTTAAAGGGGGTAGTGTATTTACCGCGCAGCCTCCACCATCCATCGGGAACGGCCGCCCCTTGGAAGACGGTGTTGGTGGCGCTTTGATCCGCAACTCCTTTAGGGTGCCTCAATCGGCCGGCGGATATAGTCACCGTAACACGCTTCATAACTAGTAAAAATACCTCAAAACAATTATTTGTTTCCAGTGAACTTCCAACGACATGATTTGTGTTTGAAGGTGAATAAAAATGTGAAACTAGCAGACGACAGTGTAGTCGACAGCAGCGAATCGGCCGGAGCGGGCCGGAGCCAAGCTGGCCAAGCGGCCAAGCCGGAGCCATAGCCGGAACGACGGTGCTGCAAGCGCCAGCGCCACCCGCGGCCGTCTTCCAACGCTGTGCCGCTTCTCAGGTTTCGTTCGTTACACTACCCCCTTTAAGCCACTGTAGCCAAACGCCGGACGCCGGCGTTCCATGTTTTAACGGGTTCGACGAGTGCAGTGGAGACAAAACCTGCTAGCTTTAGGTCTACCCACTAATCATCCTAATCAGAGCTCAGCGTTCTTACGTCTCCGTGCGCTCTCCTCTCCTCCTCTCCCTCAGGTTCTTCCCGTATACCAAGCCCTCAACTACTTATACGATTAAAGCAATAGTCTTCGCACCCTGTTTCACTCTAAGGTTTTGGGTCACTGATTACTCAGAAACAAAAAAAGACTTAAATTAACACTTTTAAAGGGCATTGATGGGACACGTATTTTTTTAGCAATCTTGCGACGAAATAGAGTTTTCCGCGCAATATTTACACCGTTAGACGTAATTTAGGTGGAGGTCATGGCACGCGCGCTCTAAGTCCAGCCCACAGATCCGTCGCCTCGCCCATACTACTGGATTGGCTTGTCTGCTTGACCGAACGCGCTAACAAGCCTAGTGTCTTCTTTTCGCGCCATCCGGCGCGTCATCTGGCGTCTGACGCCGCCTGCTAGTCTTGCGAGCCATAAAGGTTGGAAGAGGAGGAGGCGACTAGAGTCACGAAATGTTCCCAGAGTACCGAAACTTCCAAGTTTCGTTTTATAATCGAGTCGCGGCGCAGCAGTAGCGCTCCAACACGTCTCCAAAATGGCACTGCGCTGTGCGGTCGAAGCGAGGCACGCACAGTGCGGCGCTCATTCTCGGCGAGCTCTTCAATCCACTTTGCTGGTCTGTCGCGACACTGTTTTGTTTTTATTAAAGTTCTTTCCTTCGTTCCGAGCGGTGCGTGACTTGCTCATCGCTGTCTCTTCTCTATCTCTCGCCTCAAAACACATCGAAGTCGAGTTTTAGGCTCGGCGTCTAAGGCGTAGAGTTTCAAACGCAGCACCAGCGCAACAGGAGTGAGCCAGTGAGCCGGCGATCTTCTGTGGGGAACCAGGTTAGCAGCTACTTGATATAAAACAAATCTAGAGAAAATCAACGCACCTTCCGTTCGGTCCTAACTCATTGATGCCTAAAGCTTCCACCCGTGCGTACCTGCCGTAGCCGTGGCAACGCAAAAACTTTTTATACACTCTTTTTATTGTTTTGGGCCCGTCTCCAAAATCGCAGACAAAATGGCAAGCTATTCAGAATTGGATTCTGCGGAATTCACGTTCGGTAAGCGAACTAAATGGAATTCGGCACTCTGGGAACACTCAGTGACTCTAGGGGCGACATACCGACTCACGCCGGCCAAGCAAGACAATCCAAAGTGAAGCGGGAAGTAGAGGACGCGGTCGATGGGAACGCTCCTATGGGTGACCAAAATAGCTCTTGGTGCCAAGTCATCTTTCGTCCAATAGCGTCTTTTGGTTTTGGTCATCGTTGGAGGCATGTCCCTCCACACTTCAAGCCTCACCCCTGGTGGCGTAATGTTGCCTTCAGACGCTTCCTACCTCTATGGTGCGAGCAGACGCACGGCAGCCTCCGGCAACGTCTGCTATTTCACCACCGTCTATCGTCATCTGCAATGTCCGTGAGACGCGGACACTAAAGCTGCACGTCGGCGTCCGTTTTCATATTTGTCCGTCTGCTATTCCGTACCCGTCTCAAAACTCCTGCTAAGCTCATACGATGCGACCAAAAAAGCGCCGTTCTAGTTTTTCATCATGCGCGATCCGCGATGCAATACGAGCGTCTGTCGATTTTTGATAAAATAAAGTGACCGAAAGGAGTAAGCAAAAACAATAGAAAAAATATGCAGTCACTTCATATTTTTTGGTTTTTTTTCGCATGGCATTTACGAGCAAGGCGAGTGAGCGTCATGACGCACAATGGACCTTTTCCGAGAAGCGTTCTGCGCACGCGCGAGCGCCCGATGCCAAGCGGTGGAAGTCGGCACGAAAAAATCGAGGAAATTCGGAATGAGGCTGTAAATTCCATGAGTAGAACACGTAATTGCAGCATATATATAATTGTGTTACACAAAAAAAGAAAGTGGACGGAAAGAAAAACACGACGTTTGGGTGGACGCTACGGATTTCCGTCTTTAAAGTCGCGCTAGGCCTACCTCGTTGCGTTGGGCACGCGACGCTGCTCAGAGAGCGAAGCAACTGGTAACGTAGCTCCCATTATCGATGGTAGCGCGGGTAGGTCACTTCCTTGATTTTTAGTTCGTACAGCCACCGCCTGGTGCCGTCGGTATTTGGAAAAGGTCCATTAAAACGCGGCCTAAAAACATTCTTTTTGGCAGGCCAGGTGCACTGCAAAATTTGAGCTACTTGATTTTTGAAGCAAAAACAACGGGAAAATACCTAGACAAACTTGATGCGTGCCGATCGCCAGATAGCCTCCAAGCAAATATCTCGCAAATTCTTACTTCTGTAGGTGTCTAGGTAGTGAAACCCATGGTTGCAACCCCGACGGTTGCACAATTCGTAGAGCAGCGTGGCCGCTTTTACGGGAACCAACATCTTTATTCAGCATCAACACGGGCAAACGAAATGAAACAATTGGGTCACATCGAGCGACATAGTTGACGTGGGGCGCTAGGCTTAGGACAGTCCCGCTACGAAAAAAACATCCGGACAAAGTTTCCGAATGCGCGTACTTGAGACAGTTGTTTGCTGCAAACTACGTCGGTTAAGGAGACTTTCATATAAACACCTCGGTGAAGGCCAAACGACTCGCACTCATGAAAACAGACGAGCTTGACGAGGTGCGCTTGCTGAGCACTCCGCCGACGCCGGC